AAATCAATTTTTTTTTCTTAGTAATTCTTCCTCTGATCGGAAGAGCACACGTCTGAACTCCAGTCACCATGCTTAATCTCGTATGCCGTCTTCTGCTTAAAAAAAAGACAAGCGATATGCACTTTTTCATTCAGCAGAGAGAGAGAGAGAAGGTGCCTGCAGAGCCGTCGGCCAGAAGCAGTCAGCCTTGGACGAGGCCTTCTCAGGCGTGCCAGGCATCGGGCTCGGTGCACTGAAACTCAGCCCAGGAGGCAGCCTACAGACGGAACACTGACTCCGCACACCTGAGAAACACTGTGGCTGCCTGGAAATGTAGAGCCTCAGGTATCTCACTTCTGTAGCAAAATGCAACTTCGGCATAAAAGTGAAGAAATCAAACACGTTCATCCATGCACAAGTGTGGTCCTCAGAACTATTGTTCCTAATGACTCAAGGCTCCATTTCCAAAGGCAAACACTGAACTGGAAGGCTCATTCATCTTCCTTTATTACCTGTTCAGCACAGGACATCTCGCACCAGGTAGCTACAACCAGTTTCTGGAAGTATTTTTTAGGATACACTGAGATAAGCATGATAGGGTAAGACTAATCGGCTTTTGTGGATAATTCTTTGAAAATGACGTAGCTAGATGTCGACATCAATAGATTCAGGCAGGTTTTTCTCCAAACAGTGATGTTCAGTTGGCCCATGAGTTGTTGCCCTTGCATTGGTGGTGTCAGGGAAAGGGACACCAGAGTCCATGATATTTTTAGTTAGAATGACCAGGACCCGTTGGTGCCTTTGAAAGTCAGTGCTGGAATGGCTGCTGAGCAGCTCTGTTAGGCAGGCAGAGACACAGCCCCGCCTCCCACCCGCTGCCATGCACCTGAACACAGCCTGGTGGGAGGAAGAAGACCCGGCCATTCAGCACACAGCCTGGACTTTGGTCTGGAGTGCAAACATCTGGGTTCATTTCCTAGCTGGGTCACTGATTACCATGCCGCCTTGGGCAAGTTATGTAACCTCCCTGAGCCTCAGCTGTAAAGTGGAGCTAATTCCTACCCAAAGGAATGTTGTAAGGATTAGAGGTATATATCTTGTTGCTGTCAAGCCGATTCCGACTCGTAGCGACACTACAGGACAGAGTAGAACTGGCCCATAGCGTTTCCAAGGAGCGGCTGGTGGATTCGAACTGCCAGCCCTTTGGTTGGTAGCCAACCGCTTAACCACTGCACCACCAGGGTTTGGAGGTAGTATGTGTAAACTGCCCGATATAATTTCTGATAGCGCTTGGCCTTCTATTTCCGCGAGAAAAAACATGACACAGATACAGGGACAGGGATAGGTAACACCAGTTGCCGTCGAGCTGATTGTGACTCGTGGCGAGCCCACGCATGTCAGAGTAGAACTGTGCTCCATAGGGTTTGCAATGGCTGATTTTTTTTTCGAAGGAGATCACCAGGCCTTTCTTCCAAGGCACCTCTGGGTGGACTTGAACCTCTTCCAACCTTATGGTTAGCAGCCAAGCACATTAACTGTTTGCACCACCCAGGGATTCCGGGTATAGGTATAAAACCAAAAAAACCAAACTCGTTGCTGTCAAGTTGATTCTGACTTATAGCAACCCTATAGGATGAGTAGAACTGCCCCATAGGGTTTCCAAGGAGCAGCTGGTGGATTCAAACTGCCGACCTTTTGGTTAGCAGCCGTATCTCTTAACCACTGCACCCCCAAGGCTCCAGTATAGGTATATAGATAAATAGATGCATAGAGACATAGATGAATTATGACTAGCTTCCACCCTGGAAAAGCAATATATATTTGAAAAATCCTCAGACAATAGGGTGCTTTGTACCTAGCAATGATGGGTCATTTGTAATGAAGAGATAATTTTGCAGAGTCTCAAAGTAACCATGTTAATAGCACCATGTTCTCTAGAGATTAAAAA